AGGTTTCGTAATAAGCATAACAATGTACTGAGTAACCAGTTGCAGAATTATATTGTACTCTGTTTTTACTGAAATACATATAATATGGGATAATGATGAAAGGTATTTCATGATTCATTACATACGAACTGTTGATAGTATCTTTATTATTTTTTTGCGTGTAAGTAACTGCATGTCAATCGCATATATTAAATAATAAAAAATAAAATTGCAATAATATACCAAAGATCAACAGGATAAAATAAATTAATAATTCATTAAGATTTCGAAATTAAATACATTAATAGTCTACACATTAATAAAAACAAGAATATCTTGATACAACTAATGAATAATCCATCCTGATACAACTAATGAATAATCCATCAAGATTTCTAAATGTAAATGAGCGTATTAATCATCCGAACACCAATTTATGTGAATACCCTGGATAAAAAAAACGTTTTAAATAAAATTATGCAATGCAGATTTCCTGATGCACGTTGACACTTTTATTTTTACAGAGGGTTTTTTCACATGGTCGATTGGGAATGAAATAATTAGCACCTCTAGTGATATAACCAAATTTTCCAGGCCCGTGAAGTTATGGTGGACTGCATTTTCATTATTTTTTAAAGTCATTATCTAGTCTCATTATGGTGCCAGCATCCTTGTGTAACGTTTTAGTCTAAAATATTCATCATTATTACCACCTTGCCGGGCCAGTTCTAGGGGTTTTAGTGCTAGTTTAGAAGGCGTTCATTTTACTATATCGACCTGAGAAATGTGTGACGTCATAGTGGTGGTCCATATGGACCGGTCTAGAATATATTCTGGACCGGCAATTTTCCCCGGGAAATTAGATATCGTTCGATGCGTAGATTTTCTTGCTGTTTCAGTCCTGTTCGTTAACGGTGGTAATAATACTAATAACGTCATTTCTGCGAGCAATATAGTGAAGTATTGGACCTTGGGCCTTCGGCCCTCGGTCCAATATTTCACTATATTGCCCTTAGAAATGACGTTATTTTACTATTAATGAATGGATAAATTGAATATTAATAGAGCGAAGTGTCCCGACCACAGTTATTAAGTAAGCATTTATTCCATCTAAGTACATGGTGCTTTGCAATATGATACAGGTCCCGTGACAGATTCCGTGAATAAAGTCGCTTAATTTTCCAAAACATCCGACTAAGTGATTAGACAACCCAGACATACTGTATACACTTAGCCGATCAATTGATTAAGCAACAGAATAACAAGGCATTATATAGCATGCAACATGTCACCACCTACCATTTGTCACAGACGCAAAACACTCACTGCCGAACGCCGTTACAAAAAATGAAAACCATAAAAATATGTCACCAATTTTGGCACTGATATTAAAACGAAGGATTGCATTGATATTTTCGATTTCAAATCGATCTTTTTGAAAGTTCATGAGTGTCTCTTGCATCAACTAAATACAGACAGGTTTTTAGATGCGATCTGTATCAGAATGCATGAGTGTAGCCAAGGCCTTTTCTGAATCAAAGTCATGGCATCAGTCCGGGAATTGGGTGGACAACAGATCACCTGCCAAAGCATGTTAAATCATGCAAAAACCGAGATGACCTAACAATGACCGAACGGGAGAGTGTCGGATAGATTCATATGAGTTTAGGTCAGAAAAATGGGGGGGGAGGGATCGTCAACTCTTACGTCCCGAATTCAGCTGATTATCTTTCGGCGTCCATAAGATCTTTGGCTTGCCTGAAGATGTTGGGAAACAAATCCGGCTGCCTTTTCGGAAATCGGCGCAAATGTGACCAATGTATCAGTCACATCTACTACCGCAACGATTTTATATTTGTTCAGCCAATGGAAATCATACGACCGCAGAAGTTATTCTAGATCTGCTGTCGTACGGCGCGGCGTAATGAATTTGTAGAAACATAAAATCAGTTTTTGCAGTACGGCCTAGGGCGCTCCATAGGCGGCTCAAGGTTTTCGACAAATATCAAAGTAGACGCAAGGCGGTCGCAGGAACAGTACATTTACCGTTCCACGACTCCGTTGCGATTGTTTGGCCAGTATAACGCTACGGCATGCGGTGACGACTTGTCTTATTTCTACAATGACCCTCAATGAAAAAGTTATAACTCCGTGTTATGTCTTTCACGGCGTCCCCGCGATCTTTAAGATACTCGAATACACCGTAACGGCGACCTTGAATGACCGTGGTTTTCCTACGGCAAACGTAGGTATTTCTTGACTTTTGGGAGCTACGGCTGCCGTACGTCCGCCGTGGTAGCTATAGCAAATATGACGGAGGCATAAAAAGTGGTAGTTCGATTACTTATATTTTAAATTATGTGGAAACTTCTCACCAGAACCCGACCAAAATTTTTCATTTATTTAAGGACATAGTGCAACCGATACATTGTACTGATGTATCAATAACAAAACAGCAATTAAAATACAATTATGCCCTACTAATTCCACTAGATGATCCAACTGACTATACGAGTTTACTATACTTATTGACGAGCCAGTTATTGCTGTTACCAGGAGTTGGGAGATTATGCAGAATTATTTGGCAATTTGTCACCAGCCTACGTCATAACAATTACTGTTCAGAACTTTCATTGACTCTTAAATAAAAAGGTCGCAAACTTCGCACGATTTCGACATTTTAGGCTGAAAGGAACTCCAGAGAAAGCTAATTGATATTTCAAAGAAACGACTTGACATATTTGATTAGGCATGATATGGATTCGAGCAAAACAACATCATCATGAACACTGGATAAAATTATGATAGTATTATGGAACTATATAATATCAGCACTAGATTGCAATTTCGTAAAAAAGCAGGTATATGAAAGAAATTGATTGAATATAAAGCTACGTGTACATGTGATAAAAAGCAATTAAAATTCATCAATGCACTTAATCGATTAAGATTTGACAACGATAGAAAAGTTATTCTTTCCCGGGACTTTAATTATTGAATTGATTTTATTTATTTGTTTATGTTATTCGGTTCATTTACACACATCGTAGTTAGATAGTTAGACACCTTACGCTTTTAAAGCAGTGACATGGCTATTGATTTTAAGAGTTGAGATTTATAAATGAAATTAATTAGATAAAGCTTACTGTACCTGGGATTAACAAGGATTAAAAGAGGATGTGTCAATTGAATTTATTAATACATAGGACTTAGAGGATTAGGATAATCATGTTTATAGATGCATGTATTCAACAAGTTGCAAGTTGGGATACAGTTCAAATACATGCCATATACTATGCTTTTATTGCCCATACGTTTTTAGATCAATGCGAGTAATCTGGTAATATGAGAGAATATCTGATCTATGAGCTATAATATGGAACTTTTACGTTAACATGTCATTGGCCAGACAGGATTGATGGCGAGTTTTATGTAAAATGGAAAAAAGAAGTTTTAAAGGCTATAACGGAAGACATCAGCGGAATGTAAGCTTCTCGAGGATGATATAAATACTTCGTATACATGGAGATATTACTTAAAAGCCTGTTGCAAATTAACTTCGTCTAACTTGATTAGGTGTAGTGAACATTGAGTAAATCTAAACTGACTTACCAGAACTTTGGAAAGACCTCATTGATACGAGTGGGAGATATACTACTGCTAAGATAGGTCTTATCTATTACGTAAGGCATCGACAATGTGTTATTTCAACTTGTTTGAAAGTTAATATTGGAATAACAAACACAGCTTGGATCTAAAACTATGGACACCAGGTATTGACTTCGAAATATCCAAAAAGGTATATAACATTCAAGGGTATATCTTATAAATGAGTGGGTTCATTTATTAGGAGGCCCCCCGAAGGGGCCTCCTATCAATTTTGTAGATATTATTATTCTTTATTCTTTATTATTTATTCTTCCTCCCTCTTTTTCTCCTACTTCCAACTAACTTTTAACTAGCTACTACATAGTCCTACTAGGGACCTGGGCTGAACTTGGCGGGAAAGGAATTTTTATCTAGGTCAAGGTCAAAGGTCAAAATCTAGGTCAAATCTAAGCTCTTTTTAAGTTTCTCAGATTTTGTCCTCATACTTCATTATTTCTTGCGATGAATTAAAATGTAACTAGATATAAGCATTCTCTACAAATTGCTCACTATATGTACGCGTTAATTTTTTACCGTTTTTGAGATATTTGACGTCAAAAATGGGCAAAAATCGGTCATTTTTCAACTTGCTTCAAATGAACCAGATTTTTTTTTTAAAATCATCTACAAGATCTCAGGAACTCAAATATGTCCTTACTTTTGACCTCAGACCTTTGGTTGACCTTCGGTGACCTTCGAAAGGTAAAAAAAGTTGTTTTTTCAAATTGATTTTCTGGATTCAAATTTAGGTATATTTGATCTCAAAGGACCCACTGAGGTCTAAAAAAGTAAAATTTGCAAGGTCAAAGGTCAAGGTCATGAAACTAAATCACAAACTGTGTTTTCTAAGTTTCTCAAAATTGGAGACTACAAATCAATATTTTTTCATGAAAGTCAGGATATATATTCCTCTATAGGTTCTACACATATTAGCAATTGACTATTTATTAAAATTGTGTACCAGTTTTGAGATATTGGAACTCAAAAACTGAAAAAAGGTCAAATTTCGAAACTTTTCAAGACTAAATTTCAACTTGCTTCAAATTGACCAATTTTTTTTTAAACTCATCTACAAGTTCTCAGGATTCCAAATCTAGCCTTACTTTTGACCTTTGACCTTTGGTTGACCTTCAGTGACCTCCGAAAGGTCAAAAAAGTTGATTTTTCAAATCGATTTTCTGGATTCAAATTTAGGTATATTTATTCACAAAAGACCTTCTGAGGTCTAAAAAAGTAAAATTTGCAAGGTCAAAGGTCAAGGTCATCAAACGAAATCACAAACTGTGTTTTCTAAGTTTCTCAAAATGGGAGACTACAAATCAATTTTTTTTACTGAAAGTCAGAATATATATTCCTCTAAAGGTTTACACATATTAGCAATTGATTATCTATTAAAATTTGGCTCCAGTTTTGAGATTTTATAGCTCAAAAACTGAAAAAAGGTCAAATTTCAGAATTTTTCAAGGTCAAATTTCAACTTGCATTAATTCGACCAAATCTTTTTTAAAAATCATCTACAAGTTGTCTGGAGTTCATATATGATCTTAAATTTGATATTTAACCTTTAGTTGACCTTCTAATTGGCAATGCCTACAGGGCCTCCGTAAGATTGCTTGCAATCTTCTAGTTTTGCATCAAACAATGACATTGAGAAGCTTTACTGATGGAGATTGGATTAAACAGCAACAGGTCGGACGGAGTGGAATATATAAGCATGATAAATGATAGTAGAACTGAGTTCATTGTCAATACGAATCTGTCAATGGCATCAACTGTTACTTTCCCAGTAGAGAACACTTTTAACAACTCTCAATGGACTGATGATGGCGCGTTTTACGAAGACGAATATCATCATGTAGGCTTACTACCAATCGTAAGAGCATTGAACCAGTACGTTCAACCTTTTATCATTGTGCTGGGACTTTGTGGAAACGCATTAGTGTTTTTAATCTATGGTCTGGGATATCAACGAAAACAGTCATCGAGTGTATATTTGGCGACCATAGCGCTCTCAGACAGTGGATTTCTTTTAACTCTACTAGGATCTTGGTTAGAAACTTGGGGTGTGCCAGCGTTCAATACGAATGTATTGTGTCAATTAAACATATATTTATCCTATATTTGGGCGTTTATCTCCGTTTGGTCGTTGGTGTGTTTCTCAGTGGAGCGGTTTATCGCTGTTTTCTATCCCTTCAAACGCGACAGGGTTTGTACTGTGCGACGTGCGAAGATAGTTGTTTGTGTCGTTACCATAGTTGCATTGCTAGGTTACAGCTGCGCTTTGTGGTCCAACAAAGTCAGGAATTTCGGTGGTAATAAAAACTTATGCGCTCCTGACCCCAATTGGCCTCGTATTCTCCAAATATTGACACATGTTGATATGGTGATGTCATTCGCCATTCCTTTGATAGCTATCATGGTACTTAACATAAGTATCTGCGTGAAGATAACGCGGTTCTACCGCAGCCAAAAAAGACCAATGGCGCAGACGAGGTTCACTCCGGGTGGAGCACCGCAGACACGAATTATACTACGTAGGCATACGTCTGGTGGATCGAGAACGGAGGATTCTATGAATAATGCGATTCAGATGAAGGTTACCATAGTACTGGTCGTGATCTCTGTGGCTTTTATAATACTAAATCTCCCGACGAATGTACTACGCCTAGTCATGTTATTTTCGGCGCTTGGTCACAGAGACCTAACGTTATTACACGACGGACAAATCCTTTTACAGCAAATTTTCCAGATTCTGTACTACACCAATTATGGCATTAACTTTTTCCTTTATTTGGGGTTTTCCAAACAATTCAGACATGCCTTTACGAAATATTTTAAGATGTACAAGGAGCGGTTCGGAACATGTTGGCTGAAATTGAAGCGAAGGCGATTTCACTCTAGGAGGCGTCAATCGAGTCGGACTTCAAGAACCAGTGTAAAGACTCTAACATTTAACCTTACAGCCGACGAACACTTGAAAAAACGTAATAGTAGACCGAGTCTGAAGTTCCGAGACTAGCGGAAAGATTACATCTTTTTCATTACAAAAAACTATTTAATCAGAAGGAATTCAACTGATCCAGTGCCATACTATACATCTTCCGTTTATTAAGTGATTAACTCCTGCAACGCACAATAGCGCTGTTAAGTCGTTCATCATTATTACGATCAGATTATTTGTTATTTTCATAAACGCATCTCGTGAAATCCGACTTTGGGATCTTTTGTAGAATGGAATTTCACGGACTTGAAAAATGTATAAGTTAACCGATTAGATCTCTTTTCTATTAATATATTTTATTCACAAAAATTCAGTATGTACAGAAATAAATATTATATATATATATAATATACATATTGTGAAAATGTTTCGACAGAAGGTATACCTGCCTTTATTTAATTCTCTACTGAGTCTCTTTAATGTTATACTTCTCAATTTCGCTATAATTATGTTACGTGTGATCGAGGGGATTTCTTATAAATAGCCATATATCCTAACTCATTGTGTAACTGACACAGCATTTCTCACTTAATCACATTTGAAATTGTTTCCGTAATGTTGAGATTAGGGAGGTTAAGAAGAGAAATTTAAATGTTATGACCCTTAGGACCTATTGTTCCCCACTCAAATGGTTTATCCAGGGACCTAATTATAATCGTTTTACTCTTACCTAAATATAAATAAGTCCCAGGGGTCATAACATTTCACGTTCACGTGCAACTTCTCTTATAATAGTGTATTTTAACTTCCCTATTTTCATCTGTTCGTCAACCACGCTTGTAAACCAGCTTATAATTGAAGATATATTTTACGATCAATTTCCATTTTTGAGGTCAATTGATATTTATACTTTCATTAATGGCAGCTTTACTACCCGGGCTTCACTATTGTTCATAACAATGTAGATGGCCATAAGAGGTTATTAATATTTTTCAATTACTAGTATACAGTGTAGTTAATGGAGAGACGGTTTACCCAAACGGCCAATATATGAATCCTGGGATATTATGTGATGTGGTTTTGGTGCAGTAATAAAATTATTCATGTTTCCATGCATATCACTGGGGATTTATTAAAAACGAACCCAGTTTGTTTTCGTTTCAGCACGGCCTGTCATCTTGAAGATTTTGCTTAAAATTTTTGTTTTCTCTATTTTGATATTTTCGTCATTTTTTCTGAATATTTGTCACGTATGTAATGCATAAATTCCGTTATGAAAGGAATTATGGTCCCCCAGGGATTATGGTAACCCTTTTTAATTTTTAAAGACCCTTTCTGGCCCTGATTTTGTATAAGATAATAAGAGAAAGAGGCCACCATATAAATCAATGGAGAATAGGACCATAAATTAAGAGGACCTGCTACCCCTTTACACCGGTTTTGAAATGTAATTACACCTCAGAAATACATTCTGTAATTGGTCTGAAAATTAAATACCAATCCCTTGCTTTAAACCTCACTGAGGTAAGTATTAACATGCTTAAACACTACTAAGGTAGCAACACAATATAATGAACTGTGTTTATTTTAAAGAATGTAGAGCTGTAATAAAGAAGAGTGCACTCCTTTTCTATTATTTTTGATTAAAGAATTGACACTTCGAACACCATCCAAAACCAATGTGGCACATGCAGTGAACTGAAGCTAAAATATTCACACCCTATTCACTCATTCAATAGTTGACTAGTAAATAAAAATACATTTAAACTGTTCTTGACCTGTTACATGCAGTGTACTGAGCCTGGACTAATTACGCCAATTCACTCACTTCTTAGCCTTGCCCAAGTCGGTATTTTTTACTTATCTGATCTTGAATTATTACCGCCTTGTACAATCCAATACATCTCCGCTGCTATTATGCTGAGATATTCAACGGTTTCGAGATTTCCATAATACCTACGCTATCAGGGGTATCGCGAAACCTTATTGATTAACAGATATACGCGTGGACACGACGTGTGACTTCAGGCTGATTGACCAATCAAAACGTTATCAGGTTGAGCTGCACAGCAAAGCAATCTTCCCGTCTACGGACTTGAAATTCAATGATCTGATCGATCGTTTCTTTAGAGTTACAATATATTATGTAATTAAATGTACATAGGGAATGTAAGAGTCATTAATATAAATTAAATCATGCGATAGATTTAAAACTGATCTCGCGATGAAAATGCAAGACCTAGTCCAATGTAGCGGATCATGTAGTCGTCGATCAGTGATTGAATCTCGGCCTACATGTTCATTTGAATTCAGCGATCGTTTCAACGTTTATTGTTGAAATCTTCTAACCTCCGGTTACCGATCGATGTCTAGCATCCACTTAACTCTGATTGATATTTATCTGATAAAATATTTGTATTTTCATGATGAATTCATGCAAGATTTGTTCGTGAAAAGTCCCGACGAAAAGTGTACTTGTTTTTGACCGTGCATAATAATGAGCTAGCGCTGCAAGGTCGTCGTTGATTGGTCAAATTTTACCGACATAAACATTGAGTCGGTAAAGCACGTGGCTTTCTCTTTTGTACAAGGCGGTCATAAATAGAAATCAGATATAGTAAAAGAGACCGACTTGGGCAAGGCTACTCACTTCTCTACACAAAACAAACTTAAACAAAATCTAAAAAGAACCAACGGCGTCCTGCAAAAGCCCAAATATTCGCCGACCAAAATTTTCGCGCTGAAGAATCCTTGACTTAATCTTAGACCAGTGGATTTTACCAAGAATTTTCACTCAGGAAATTAATATACCCACTTAGGTAAGCTAGTTGATATACTGACCTCATACTAAACTACACTAAACTACACTACACTACTGTAGGGTATCTTGACATTTGATCAGTAATTGTACATGCGACCATATTCGACCATTCTGAGACTCTAGATGACCAATTTTATAAACTTGAACCGTTCGCCATTAGAATTTATCTCAGAATGTTCGCTGGTAATTTTGCTTATACTACAGAATGATGAGAGTATACCATGTTCTCAATTTCCTGACAGTTTCCATGATATTGATATATTCCTAGTTTGAATGGAATTACGCCACTGATTCATAAATAAGTAACCAGTAAAAATACAGATTGTGTGCATTGATTCTTACGTAAACTACATGTATATGCATTTCTGCTTTGTTTACATAGTTAAGTACGGATTTTGTAAAAAATACCAGGGAATATTTAATTTACATTTATCATTGACTACACACAAAAGAGAACAATTGATCAACAAAGGGAATGTTGCAGGACAAGTAAATATTCATTTCCAAGATCTTTAATTGTAGATCATACAAGGCGTTTTGTCACAATTACATTGTATTATTAATTGTTTTTTGATAACGTATTTTTAAGCCATTGTGTAATTATTAATTAATTGGCATGAAGTTGTCAAGTGAACTAAGTAAACCAACAAGCCTTTCGATTGAATACAAAATTATAAAAATATAGCGTGAATATTACAAGTGGTTAAACATGTACATATTTAGGAAGCACGTGTATATATACAATTACGTAACTATGTCAAGTTTGAATACACTTCTTATTAGAAACGTATGGAAATGAATATGGTATGGATATATAGAGGTTATTTAATGGGAGGTTATGGGAGGTTTACAGGGTATATCTGAGGGAAATACAAAATATACATCTGATTTATCCTATACTTAGTAGATTATGAGGATTAACCTCTTGAATCCCAGGCTCTAAAATTGGCATGAAACCAGAGAATTTTTCATTTTTTGCCACCTTTTGACATTTTATTACATACCTATATAACTTTAGATGCTCAGCTAAGTAAAATTGGACGGCAGAGATCATTTCTACACGTTTTAAAACAATTTTTGTGTAAATTGGATGAAAATTGTTTAAATTAGAGCAATTTTTGTGAAAAATTTTGTGACGGATTTTCTCGTCCCTCTGGGCACCAGTCTTATTTCATTTGTGACGGATATATCCGTCACTCTGGGTATTCAAGAGGTTAAGTATGCATTGAACGTTATGAAACCATTACATTCAAATTACAATCAAAACATGAATATTTTGTCCAAATCTAACGTTCTTAACATTTTTTTAATTCAATAGCTTTCAACATTTAACAGTAGATGAAATTAATATAAATAGGTATATCCTGGGGATTCAAAAAACACCAAACAAAATTCCTTGGAATTACTGATGAGCGGGTGATATATATATCTCCCGCTCAGTTCGTTCAGGTCGCACCACGTCGGTGTGCAACGTCGTATAACGCGTCCCTTAGTCTAGAAGCTCATCATGACCTGATTACAAAACGGTATGGTCGCCATCGAATTTTGAATCGATCCAAAATTCTAAATCACATTCCCCGTCCGGGAAAGTCCATGAAGTTCGTAAACATACCGTAGGACGTTGTAGCTACGTTCATTCAGTTCGCACACAGTTTAAAACCGTCTCGGCAACGTTTTGATACCCTGCGTGCAGAGTCTAGTTAAACTAAGACGAAGCTCTCTTTTAAGAAGTGAAGTCAAACGAATGCAAAGGGTACGTTTTGAAGAACGCAGTGCCAACTGGTTCTGGTGTGATAGCTATTTTTGTTAATACGTTCATAAGCTTCAAACGGACTAGATTGGGGTACTCACGACTGCAATTTACGCCTGACTACACAACGTCGTAATACGTCCCTGGTAGGATTGAAGTACGACACTTCCGTTCGTAGTGTGTCCCCAGTGCGTTCAGGTCGTCTTAAGTACGTTGTCACTCGTTCTGATTGCAGAACGTGACAATCACCAGAAAATGTTGAGCATGCTCCAAGTTCTGGAGGACCTACTCGTTCGAGTAGTTTCATGAAATTTTTAAACAGATCCCAAACGGTTCTTAGTGGGTTCTTGGTACGTCAAATCCGTTCGTGCACAGTTTAAGCCCGTTTTCGAGAACGTAGTGAGAACTAGTTTGGTGTGATAGTAGGGTAAGAGAAAAGTTCGAAAGCTCGTTGTCACAATATTTAACGGAAGTGTTTATATTTCAATTTATCCTTCAAACTGTGACATTTATGCTAATAACTCGATATGTATACGATTCTTACATACCAATACGATTAAAAAAGTTACTAACATACCAAATGAAAGATGATTTCCTGGTCAAACTTGCAAAAGTTGGTCCAAATTCTCACTTGATCCCTCCGCTCCCTCCAATACGCATGCGCAGCCGATGTTAAAAATAAGGCCGTGGCTGGAGAGCCTACATTTTAAGGTTCTTTAAATTTAGCACTTCGGCTAAAGAGCCTTAATTTTATGTATGTACAAGCCACTCTAGTATATCTAAATGGTAAAGAAATAAACTTT